ATATATATATATATATATATATATATATATATATATATATATATATATATATATATATATATATATATATATATATATATATATATATATATATATATATATATATATATATATGGCTGTGATATATATGTTGGTTGTGTAATTGTACACGCGGCATACAACATCTTTCTGCTTGCGCTGGGTATGGAACTAAGATCATTTTGAAACTATAAGTAACATTGTACCTATAAAATCGTGCATGCAGTTAACATAATGTAATGACGTAGTCGGGTTTCCAAATCAATGGGGGCGGTATATGTTTAATATACATGGCGTCCGGGGGCACGCTCCCTGCGGGAAATTTTAAATTATTAGCAATTCTGATAATTACAAAGCAATTTTAACCACTTAAGACATACAGCAAGATACAAAATTTTCATTACAAAATAACGCAGATGCTAGCTTTGAACTATAGTCAGATTTTAACATGCACCTATAGTTTTTGATTTAAAAAAGCTTCTCTATTGAACATAAGATCTAATTAAGATGACGTTTGACAGATGACACAGCAAAAATCCAAACTTGACCTTTGCTTAGCTGATTTAGTTCATAGTTATTTTAAAGATTGTATGTTCTTTTATATACCGTTTGCCAAAATATGAATTGATTGGAACAATCGGTATTGTCGGAAAAACTATACGTTAAGTTTTTTACATTGCTGGCAATCTCGTATCCAGAGCAATGCCTGTGCGCGGGCTAGGATGGCATTGGCTCTGGGGAAATTGAATTTTTCCTGTGTTGTGATGTGATTGGTTTAACGTTTATCAATCGTGCATGCCGACAAAGAGCCGGAATCCCTATAAATTTAGGGGTTCCGGTTGTCAATTTCCCCAGAGCCAATGCCATCCTAGCCCGCGCACAGGCATTGCTCTGGGTACGAGATTGCATTGCTGGCCGTTAATGTCGTGGATACATTTTTACGAAACGCATATATACAGTTGTATCTTACCGTTTTCAATGGTTTTAATTAAATTACGTGTCGGTTTTATACTCAAGAGGCGAAAATTAACACTAAAATAACATATGGAAACAAAAGTTGGAATAAAATAATTATAGAATTAACCATGAGGGCAAATTAAATTATCCGCATCCATTCAATTTATAGTGGGCGGAGCCGCCAATTGATACATGCAGGTTTCAGCAAAGGACATCGCCAATAAAACTTTAGTTGGTTTATTTGGGAAAACTCTTAAATCATATTTAAGTTATTTTAATCATTTTCAACATCTGTCCTTGTTTGAAAAATTGTTCAGTCTGTTTAAAGGGAAAAAGCAATAAAACTTTCCGCTGTGTGGATTCAATATATTTCAAAACCGTTCGTGGTATAAAGGACATTACCCTTTATTTCAAACAAAACCATTATGCATTCCGCCATCTTGGATATGCATATACATCATCGGATATATGCTTGACGTCACAACCAGGGTAAATTATTTAGTTTCATTAAATGCAAATTCGATGTTAATTTGTCGTTTGAAGATTGACTTTGTATTTTTGGACGTCTTTATATAGTAGTACTATGTTCCCTCTATATTTTTACCTTCGATTAATAACTCCATGACAGTTTCGGGAAATTTTCATCAACGCAGGGCGAATTTTTGTCTGCCCACGTATAATTGTTTCCCGCCCGTAAGCCTTATGCATATGTCTTTACATTTGCGACCTATGTTTGGTCAGAAAAACCCATATTTTCCAAAAACTTACTGACAGTGTACACTGATATTACATGCACACGCAAAATATCACAACTTATCAACAAGATGTGTTTGCAACAGGCTTGTAGCAAGCTTGTCAACAAGTCTTAGCAATGCTGTTATTTTATCAAGTTAGTACAAGGTCGTCAGTCACAACTTGTTGACAAATTGTTGAATCCTGCAGGACGATAACAAAGTTGATGGAACAACTTGTAACAATCCTGTTCATTGGACCTTTCACCTTATAAATAAAATTTCGATCTAGACAAAAATTTCATCACAGCTTGATAAAATATTTGTCTAGACTTGTCTAGATCAAAATTTTGATTATAAGGGGAAAGGTCTAATTGAACAACCTTGTAGCCAACCTCGTACCCAGGATCCTGGGTACGAGGTTGCCTTGTAGCAAGCATTGTGAATGAACACATCCTGTTGACAATGTATTAGAACATTAATTGGTACACTGCTGCAAGTTTATGTGCTTTTACGTCTGTAGCTATATGTTATACTTTCGTATCTGCCGAAATAGTATATCTCAAGACAAAAACAAGTTAACAAATTTCTACGAAAGATTTTTTCATATAGTTAAATTTTTATTACAATGTCAATGAAATGATGCTATTTGTGGACTTCCAATATAAGCTCCAGGTTTTGAGTGTTTGCGCACAATTTTGACCCTAATTTTGTATTTCACTTTAGACTTTAAAACTCACAAATGTAAGATTTTCAATTAGAAGAAACTGATATTAATTTAAAATCAAACTGCATCATTTAGCTGGTAATGAGACAGTCCTTCCAAACAAAAGAGAATGCAATTATCCAAACCGCAAAACATGTTCGCATTCGAATGTTAATTACAACATACTGGTGTAAATTTAAACTACACTGATTGAAATACACTTATAACTATCGAGCTTAACGAAAGTCGGTAAGATCAAAGAGGAAAAGTACATTTGTACGACACTACTGCTTAATGAAACACTATGGACGATTGCAAATAAAAGGCCAGGGCATCTATAGTCAAGTCAGACCAAAACTGGGAGAGAAGAAGGGGAAGCAGTTATTTTTCGAGAGAGGAAAAAATGGCCAAGAATTTTACGACAGTCCTTTTCGTATCGATGATGGCAATGATGATATTGATTCAAATTGAATGTTTCAGCGTTGGAGGGGGAGGAAACATGCACTCCGCAGGCAAGAAAAGAGAAAAAATGTAAGTTGTACAACTGTGTACAAAGTTTTCTTACCGAATTATATAGATCTCAGTGCATTTGATATAGTATATTCAGTTTCTCAGTCATTGGTGAGCGGATTTCCCAACAGGCGGCTATTGTCCAATTGATAGGGGGATCCGAAGTACCTACATACTATTCAACGTGTCAATTTAAAGGCAGCACTTTCTTCTCGGTTATTTTAAGACCTTGAGTAAGGATCCGACCAAGGATTTAACCCGGATCTCCCAGTTTGAAAGGCAAGCGTGGTGGTCACAACACCACCAGTGCTGGTATAGCTTTTGTGCTTTTGACTTCTGAGTTCTCTTGCAATATATCATGGAGTTGTCCAATTATAATTTCACCGCAGTTTCACGCGTGAAAAGTACTTTCAATTTGATTCACATATGCACGAATTGCCGCAAGTCGTATCACCACGGGAACTCGTGTATAGGTTTCCTCCTGTAGTCATATTAAACCAATAAGGTATGACTATCACAGCACTAAATTTTGTAAAAATAAATTTAATACTGCATGATGAACCTAATCTGGATAAGAAAAGGTTCCCTCCCGCAGTAACACTATTTATACGAATGGCTCTTGTTGGAACTGTAAGAAAAACACTTTGGACCTGATAGAACTATTCAGTATATACATGCAGTTCCGATCCAAATATACTTCAAATAGAAGTCAATTTGGGATGAAAGTTTCTCAATATCTCGTTCAAGTGAAACTATTTTATTTCCAAATTTGTAATCAACATGTTATTTCTATTGCAAAACATAATTACAAAGTTAAAAGTAGGGATATCACAGCGAGCAATGAAAATACAAGTGATTATAAACACAACATAACTATGTCTTTCATAAACACAGCAGTCTGTCATCGTCTCTACTTAGTACCTACATGCAGCCACAGTGGCTCGTAGGCTAGCAAAACAAATGTATAACATAATTTTTGTTTTTCATGTAGTGTTTCAAAATTCTGGGGGACTGGGCCTGGCCTGAGAAGGTTTCCTCATGGAGATGCTGACGTGAAGAGAAACGATAATTTAGAAGTTCCAGACTTGGTTGAGTGGGACGAATCGTATTAAAATAGTCTAAGCTGTAGGGATTTAACTTGGAATATTTTAACACTTACTAGCGGTAGACATATATGTTGTATATGTAATGAATATATGATAAATAACGGTGGGTTGATCCTCGAAAGTGTTGATTATGTAGTTTAAGTGAGGAAAACGTGTTAATTAAAATCAAAATTAAAAAGTCAACTTGCAAACAATTGATATTTTCTGTGTTGGTGTAGTGTACTCAGGTAGTGAATAAGACGCTTGTGATGTTACTCTGAGTGTATATCCACACCGGGCAGGCTTGAAAAATATGCCTGGCCACGGTGGGAATCGAACCTACGACCTGGAATACTAGCCCAATGCTCTGCCAACTGAGCTATGCGGTCAGGTCGGTTCGAGTATATGATATTTCGGAACTGTGTCGAAGGAACTAGACTGCATCATATTGCAAGCATCATATTGACAAGCATCATATTGCAAACAATTATTGTTCAACTGCCAGGCTGGAGGCAATTCATTCATTCAAGAAGGGAATGTATATTTGAAGAAAGAGCCAAAATTTCCCCGAAGTCAAAATATTTTTAAAAATAAAAGCAACTTTCTATACTGCCAAGTTACGTTCCATATGTTTCCACAGCTTCAGTCCTAGTACATTCACAAGCTACAGCAACATGGATTTTTTCCACTCTCCAATATTTACTTGTTAAATTGCCTGGGTAAGGCATCCTGACAACATCAAGTTTTTTGTATCTTGTAACACAATGATGTTCTCCTGTATAAGAACGAGAATTCAGTCAATTTGCGTTTTTGACTATGGCATGGAAATAATGAGCCATTGAGTCAAGGACCCTCAGGGAATTAAAATGAATGTTAAAGCGTGATTTGGTAGCTAGTTCAACATGCATGTCCAATACTGAGGTGTCCGTTTTGTAGAAGTTACCCCTGGAAAAAAAATTGAAAATCCATAGAAGGCCTTACGCCCGTATTCTAAAAACCCACTCACACTCAATGAGTGGAGGTTCAATCTGAGCTTCTCTTGAGTGTCAATGCTGTTTTTGAATAGCTGGAGGGTGAGTATAGTCACCGAGTAAGGTACAATACTAACCCTCCAGCTATTCAAAAACAGTATTAACACTCAAGAGAAGCTCAGATTGAACCTCCACTCATTGAGTGTGAGTGAGCTTTTAGAATACGGGCGACAGAATGGAAATTGTATGGGAAATAGTATGGGACCTTTATGGGAAATAGAATGGATTTTGATTGTCCATAATAATTGTACATTCCCACACTAGGGATATAGTATCGAAATAGTATGGATGTACTATGGATTTTGTGGTGCAATTGCAAATCTCATAGTGTGGGTTTCACATTTTTTCCCAGTGTACCATGATCTTGCAGCGACTAAAAAACAGGCCCACATTTTGCAATGCTTTTTGTACCCGGAAATTTTGAGTGACAGTGAGATACAATTTTAGACCTATAACCAAGAGCAGTAGCAAAATATGCAACTATAAGCCCTCTGGCAGGAATTGAACCTGCGGCTCTGCGATTCCGGTGCAGTGCTCTAACCAACTGAACTACAGAGAGACTGTTGTCGAGCTCTAACCAACTGAGCTACAGAGAGACAGTTGTCGAGCTCTAACCAACTGAACTACAGAGAGACAGTTGTCGAGCTCTAACCAACTGAGCTACAGAGAGAC